GGAGAGAGTGCGGAAAATGTTTTTAGAGAAGAAAAAAAAAAAAAAGGGGGGGGGGGGCATACCAGCACTAAGGGCCAGATCTAAGAAAAGGACTTGCATGACTGAAGTGGGATTAAGGTAAAAAGCCCAAAACTATGGTAGTGAATATTCTAGTTCAGCTGCTGCCAAATCCCAGAAGGCCCAAAGCTCCTCAAGCATGTGTGAGAGGGTTTGGGGTTTTTTTTTAACCTTTAAAATTACCTGGCACTTCAAAGTTCTGCTTTTGTGCATCCTCAGAAGTACCTCTCCATCAACCCACCTTAGCACCTACATCCTCTGAAGTGTTTTGAGTCTCCCTCAGAGACAGTCCACCTAAAGCACACTGAGGGGCCTGGACTCTACACAAGATGCAGTGTCAGCTGGCACTTGCAAAACAAGCTGGCAGAGAGAGTGCCCCTCTTATGTGATGATCAAACACATCTACCCTTCCAGAAGGAAGCCATAACCACCAGATTTATAGGCTGTCCTGGAGTGGGAAATACTTTCTTTCCTCTTTAAATTTCTTCAATCTTGGCAGAGAAGAGTTCAAGATTTGTTGTACCAAAAAAAGGTTGAAAAGGGGAGAGCAATGACTCTCTTATCTAGTGGTTTAGGCCCTCTAGAGCAGTGTTTCTCAGCCTTTTCAGTAGCAGGTACCCCCTCACTTCTGAAAATATTAATAAGTACCCCAACACTCAATTTTCCAGGGGATTATATATTTACAGATTAATGTGTGCCATATGTTGGAAGAAGGGCTGTGTACATAAGGTCGTGATATGACAGATATCTGGTCTGGTGTGGGTAAGGATGCCACCTTTTACACCAGGGGTGCACAATTCAGGTATGTACCTGGGCTAGCAAATTATTGCTGGGGAATTTAAAGTACCAAATATTTTCCCATAGTTTTGAGAGGAGGAAGGGGCGAGAGAGAGAGGAATAGAGGGTGAGAGAAAGTATGTTGGGGTACCCATGTACCCCTTGCCTGTGTCTCACATACCCCCAGGGGGTACCACAGGTTGAGAAACTATGCTCTAGAGAAGTATGGGGTTCATCTCTTTCTCTTCCCTTTCCATCCTTCCCTGCCTGCAACAGAGTGAGGTGCCTAGACCCTAGACAAGAGGGGTGGGATTGAAGGCCAACCCTGTCCTCAGCATTTCCTACTGGATATCTCTAGGTGACTTCTTACTCAACATGCATAGTTTTGATCCCAAAACTGCACTTGGAAGTGCTTGAAAAAATGGAGCATTTCAGTTGTAGATAGATGTATTGACTTCTTATTTTGTCTTCTGACTGGAGTGCTTGAAAATCCCTATAGCTGTATACAACAGCATGCTCTTCAGTCGGGGGTGCAGAAGGGGCTGTGGCAACCTGTGCCCTTCCCTCCCATTGCCAAAGAGGAAGTGTATGTGGAAAGCATTATAGATTTTAAGTACAGTTCATCAACCCCTGGCTCCCAGGGCCTATAGCTCTGTTCACCTCAAACACGTGAGAAAGGATGGGTGGCCAGTGTCAATGAGTTTTCTCAGGAGCCTGAGCATGTTGCTTCAAAATTTTAAATTTAATTCCACTAACTGGGAGCTGAAAAGGTGCAGTGTTCAGTTGAGTGACACCTTTATCCTGTTTTTAGAGGTAGCCTTAAGTGACTGTTCAAGTGCACGATCATTGTCAGGGCCAGGGCTTAATATAAAATTTTCCTGACAAACAGTCCTAGATTGTGCAAGTCAGAGAGCCTGATATATATATCTATCTCTTTTTCACATGAACACCTACCTTGTGTTTGGATATGTGTTAGCATATGTATACAGATGAACCTTTCTGATTTTGGCAAGCTCTGTACTGATAATTTTTCACAGGTGGTTACAGCTGTATGAGGTGTAATGCAATGATGACTCAGACTGATAAAAATGTATATGTGCTAAGGATTGCCAAAACCTTTGTTTCAAGTGATGCTTTATAATACACATCTTAGCATCCAAAATCTTTGGAAGGCTGTTCTAATAAAAGACTACATAGCCTAGTCCAAAGGCAGGACTACTTTACTTAAAATGCTTAACTGATTGTTACAGGGGTGTAAGTTGTCTGACTTGACTGTTTGCCCTTCTGGGTATTTCATGACTTCAACCTCCAATGGTTCAAAACTTAGCCTAGCTTTAGCTTCTTGTTTTCTTTCTACTACATTGGACTGCTATCTAGCAGCTCTTGGACATACCTATGCCTTTGACAGAATTTTCATATTTGTTGTCTGTCTACCTTTCTCCAAGGACTTTGTGCCACTTAAACACTGTCTTAATTTCTAATATTATGTCCGGTTGGTCTAAATAGGAGATACCTTCTCTGAAGACTGTCTTTCAGCAGTGTAAGTAAAATTTACTTTGGACAAAGATGAAGCCTGTGAAAACCAAGACTTGGCAATTAAGTTGCACAATTTAATGCTGCATTGGCAACATTTTACCTATGCCCTTATGGTGGATACTAGCACAGCTGTTTTTGAAAATGATAACCAAACAGTTCTCCCACAACATCTCAGGAAATCGAGGGAGTCAGTTGGGGGTCTCAGCTGTCTGTACACCAATGCCAGGAGCATGAGGAACAAGCAGGAGGAGCTAGCTGTCCTGCTGTCTAGTGGGCAATATGACCTGGTAGGGATCATGGAGACCTGGTGGGACTCCTCGCATCATTGGAGTGTAGCCATAGAGGGCTACACCCTGCACAGGGGGGACAGAGTAGGGAGAAAAGGTGGAGAGGTAGCTCTACGTGAGAGAGCAGTACACTTCTCTGGAGGTTGACATCGGCTCCAAAGGTAAGCAGCTTGAAACCCTCTGGGTCAAGCTACAGGGGGGGCGAGGTGAGAGAAACCTAACTGTAGGCATTTACTACAGGCCACCAAAACAAAGGGAGGAGCTGGAGCTGGAGTTCTTTCAAGAACTGACAGGCTGCACATGCAAGGGACTTGGTAGTCAAGGGTGACTTAAATTACCCAGACATAGATTGGGAGGAACACTTGCTTAGGTCAGATTGTTCATGCAGTTTCCTGACTCTGATCAAGGAGCTCTTCCTGACCCAGGAAGTGCAAGGGCCAACCAGAGGTAACGCTCTCCTAGGCTTGGTCTTGGCCAAAGGAAATGATCTGGTGTGTGGCTTGAACATTGAGGGTAACAGTGACAGTGACCATGACCATGAAATGGCCATGAAATTATGGTAATTCATGGATAATTTCCATGGATAATTTCATGACCATGAAATTATCAGGTTCACTGTCCGCCACAAGGTCGACAAATCAACCAGCATAATTGAAGTCCTGGACTTCAAAAATGCTGACTTCAACAGGCTCAGAGCATTAGTAGGGGAGGCAATGCAGGACCAGGAAGGCAAGGCAAGCGGTGGGGGGTGGGGAGGAAATCTGATCATTGCTCAAGGATACAATCCTTGAAGCACAAAAGAAAACCGTTCCTGCAAAGAGAAAAGGCAGCAGAATTATGATGGCTTAATAGGGACATTGCAGTCCTCTTAAAAAAGAAAAAAGGAGGTGTACACATAGTGGAAGCTAGGGATGGTCCTCATCCTCATCCATTGGTTAGGCCAGTCAGCCTAACCTCCATCCCAGGGAAAATCTTGGAAAAGCTCATTAAGTAATCTATGTGCGATACGCTCGCAGAAGGTAAGCTTCTGAATGACAGCCAGCATGGCTTTGTCACGGATAGGTCTTGTCTTACCAATTTCATCTCCTCCTACGACCAGGTCTCTCACCACCTGGACATGGGAGACGTGGTAGACGTTATATAACTAGACTTCCAAAAGGCTTTTGATCTAGTATTCCACCATATCCTTGTGGGAAAACTGGAAGGTTGTGGGCTCAGCTGCTCAATGGTTTAGTGAGTGGGAAACTAGCTACGGGGTTGGACCCAAAGAGTTCTCAAGAACAGATTTATGTCATCCTGGTGCGAAGT